TTTGAGACAAGGAAGAAGGTTGTGATTGAGAGCCTGCGGGAATACGAAGCACCCAAGTAGATTTGTCATGACAAAAAAAGGTACAACAACGTAATTTGATGTGCTGTTATTTGACCTGCAAATCTCTGACCAAGTTGAGGAAAGCTTCATGTGGGCATTTTTTCCTTTTTCTAGACTTCATGTAGGCCTTTTGCTAACCGAATTTCAAGTTAAGAGGAGGCCTGTTAGTGTTCTGATGCTAATTTATCAGTGTTTGTAATCACAGCTTGTGTTACGCAGGAACTTTACAGGTTCAAGTTGTTTACACGTCCCCTGTTACTCGTCCAGTAATTGTTATACATTAGAGGACATCAAACGTGGAAAAGCAGAGTTTGCCAGCATTGATTATGCAAGCAATCATATATCTGTGCTAGCTAGACATATGATTTGATGTATGGGAAAAGGGAGATTTCCATGGTAGGAAAAGTCTCCGTGTGAGTGGCTAGTGAAGTCGGGACGCCAGATGAAGATGTTTTCTTTGGAATTGAATAAGCAACAGGTCGCATGGTGGTTGGACGCTTTAGTACGATGCCGCGTAGTTGGCTTCTGTGGAATATAAGCAAATCGCCCATTCCAAAGTCACGGGTAATTTGAAGATTTTCTCTTGTTTCGTTGTGCATGCTCCACCTTTTTTTTCACTGGCGAGTGTAATGTTAATGGCTGGATGAATGATGGGTGATTGGGTCGCTCTCAGACAGGATATAAACTGTGATCCTCTCCCTTCAAAGATTCAAGAGAATAGGCATCTGGTAACCCACGCTTTTTAGAAATTGTACAAGGTGGTGATGTTTTGATCGTGGCCAATTATTTCCCGGTGTCCTTGAAGAGGACAATCGTTATCTTATCACTACTTATCGTGTTTGCAATTATCGTCCTTGCTGCTTTCCGAGCTTGAAAAACACCCCCTCGTGACATCATCTGCTCTTTTTTTCTGTTATTGTCTTTCCTGTCCTCCCCGCCTTGTACTATTATTATTGAAACACATGAATGTTTCCGCCCCTTCAGTCTGCACTGCACATCCGTTATGTTGCTGGTCGGATTTATTTTAAATGTAGAAAAAAATAATTAAAAATAAAGGGACTGTTAATATGGTTTCATAGCAAAAATAATGATGAACTAAACATCTGAAATGTATTGGATGTTTTTTTTTTTTGGAAAAATTCAGAAAACTCAAGTTAGCTGTTAAACTTTCAACCATGATTAAAAAAAAAAAAAATACTATTGTGATCTACTGTCACTTCCGTACAGGATTAGTAGTTTTTGCTAAAATAATTTCAATTATTGTTTTAGTTTCTTTTAATAACAATGATGAGAGTGAGAGGGGACTAGGAGGAAGCACCTTGCTCTCCCACGGTCATTTCCTGGGCCATGACAATTTTTATCGGAATATGTGATCATGGAAGTAAGAAGAGTGTTAAAATGGTACAATACCCTATGTCCCGTTTGACGTGCTGCTATTGTATTTTGTGCATTGCCAGTGGCTCAGCAGCTGAAGACACGATGCCATCCTCCCTGCTGCAACCTGTTCTTGTTTCCTTTTTTTTTTTTTTTTCTCTTTTTAGATGATTAGCAATCCAGCAACCAACTGTCCCCTCCCAATCTGGTCCTATGGTCCAACTTCTGAGGATGCGTGATGCCTGGATGAAAGACGATGGCGTTGCTATACGTCCTCGAAGAGGAGAAGAATATAATTGGATCCAAACAATGTCTTATTTAATGGGAACAGACCCGAGACGGACCCACCAACTTTCTTGTTTGCATGAACGAAGCATTTATCAATGAGTTGACACTAATTTAAACCTCGGCTACCTGGTACTTATTGGAGGCTTAGCTACACAATTATGGCCATCGGTGGACCACTCAATAATTATAGTAAATGGAGATTTGAAAATTCCCAGCGGTGGACTTCCACATGATCGTAAGCCATTTCTTCGCAGAGCTCGATGAAATTGTTGAGAGTAAGGTGGACATCACACATGCACGGAGAATGAAACAGATCATTCTTTCGTTCAAATTTAATCAAGGGTTCGATCAACTCTGTTTTCGTAAGCTCAATCCACAGGCCTTCTTCCTTGTTCTTTCAACTGAATCGGGGCAGGTAGAATTCAGATGAGTTCTCTAGTTATTTGACGGGCCCGGCGTTGAATAAATAAAAGCGCCGCCCTTCTAATTACTATTCACAACCCAAAGTCTAGAGTTAAAACCGGCATGTAAGATTTCTGCGCAGTGAGCCCACTTAGGTACAGTATTGCAGAAACAGATATTATATCCTATACAGGGCCGCGCTGCTGTGGGTTCGGGTCATTTTTTTACATGAAAAATTAACATAAAATATATTAAATAATGTATTTTTTTAAAATATTTATAACGCAGTATATTAAATGATATTTTTAAATAAAATATTGAAATAATTATATAGCATATATAGGTAGTGGTTAACTTAATAAATAAGTGATTTTACCGTGATAATTTTATAAAAAATAAATTAAATTATGAAAATCAAATTTTTTTTCAGAATAATATTGAAAAAAATTATTAAAAAATGTTAAATTAATAAAATATCCAAAAAAATATATCAAAATCAATTTACATGAACTTATCAAATCCATGTGTTGGGTTATGAAATCAAGATAGTCATTTATTAGTGTTCTGGTAATAAAAAATAAATACACGCCCCCGGTAGCCATGCTCTATTCGTTGGTAATTTGGGTCCCCTGTCTATCATTATGCTACTAGCTACACATTCCCTGTCTATAAAAACTAGAAACATACATGCAATAACTTCATTTACTAAATAAACTTATTAGGCATGTAGATAGGGTGAGATTATATTTTTTATAAAATATATTTTACATTAAAAAAACAATTAAAGATAAAATAATTTGTTCAGATTTTTTAGAGGATGATAATAAAAAATAATATAATTGTTAAACACCTAATATTGAAATTATATATGCTTGGCAGACCTTGAGTGCCTGGACCAAATTTGCGATCCTGAGTCTGTAGACTTAATTTTCCAGAATTATCATGCTTGTTTTTGGGTTTGATATCACATATGATTGTTATATCTTAACACATTTTAATTATTATAAATAAATCATTACAAAAATAGAATTTAATGATTTAAATGCGAAGATTAAAATTATATATTTTTATTGAAGTAGTTTATATTTTTATGAACTTGTTATCTATCAATGAAATTTCTATCTTCAATTATTATTTTTAGTATGCTTATTATTATTATTTATTATTATTATTTTTGTTATTATGATTACTTAAATAAACTTAAACCATGTATATTTTCCAGATCCCAAGTAAAGTGGATCAAAAAATTATTTATAAACCAAGTTTAAATAATTTACAAATAACAAACTATTATAAAAATATAATTTAACATTTTTTATCTAAAAATTCAAATCATATCTTTTTATTGAAATATTTTTTCTTGGTTTATAGATTTGTTATTTCCTCAATAAAAATTATATTTTATGGTTGTTACTGATATAGTTTTTGTTCGAAAGTATTTTTGTTTTAAATATAATAAAATAATATTTTTTTATTTTTTAAATTTATTTTAACAACAATACATTAAAAATATAAAAAATTATTTTAAAGCAGAGAAAAAATTTTAAATTATTTTTTAAAAAATTATTTTTAAAATGCAATAACAAATCTGCTATAGTAATCTTTTTTTTTTATAAATCTATAATTAATAAAAATATTTTATGAATTATCACAGTTAAAATAATTAATAAAAATACTTTAAAAATACAGTAATAAGTATTTTGGGTTTGACTTTGCTGTCAAATACAAATTTTTTTAAAATATAATTTTTTATATATGTTTAATTAAAAAATTATTATTAATTTGTTACCAATCCCGAATCAATATAGTGGTAAATGCTATGTAATGGTAGTACTTGCCCAAAATCGCCCAGTATTTTATAAACTGATAATCCATGCTGTTAATTTTTTATTTATTAAATACTAGTAATTTTCATGTAATGTAGAGATAATTTGTCACAGCACAGAAGTGACATATAATGCAAAGTAAACTCCAAGCATGAAAACATGACACTCGAGAACAACATAATAAAATAAAATTTAAGGATAAAAAAATGATTAAAAAAAAGCCACCAACAATGATACGAACATGCAAATATGAAAGGGCTAACAACTTAGGCACAAGAAAGTTCTCAACTGTCTGAGTACATTTTATAAATAAATACAAAGGGTAAATGTAAATGTAATTTCCTTATGTACACGTACATAAAAATTTTATTTACTTTCAGGTAAAAAATGGAGGAGTAAAAGTAAGGTTTTACTGGATCAATCAGTCACTATAAAAACATATCAGGATATGCCAAGTGGCGTCCTCCCATACGTCTGCATAAAGTCGCAAGCAAGATTTTAGCTTAGATGTTTTTTTTCTCACAAGGTCATAGAAAAATGATGGGCATGATTGAATCTCTGGTCTGGACTGGACTCCTCAGCAGCCGCGGTACTTGATGGCTGATGGAGGGATGCTTCTCGCTGTATTCATGCATGCATACATACATACATACATACTAATTTCCACTAAGCTCTTACTGTTACACCGGCAATGCCTTTACTTTATCTGACTTCCACCCATGTGGTGGTCACAAGTGGGCCTGGCCCACCCTCTCCCTTTCCATTTCACTTTGCTTTTTTACGATCTCTCTTCGGTTTCCGCGAAAGTAATCTCATCCCTTCTTGTCCTCACTTCCAACCCAAACCAACTCCCCCCTCCATTTATCCTACGTCAGGCTCCCCACTCTCCTATCCTACGCACCCGCTCACGTTAGTCTCCACATGCTCTTTTGGTGCGAACCTCAGTTCCTACGCATCCCCGGCGCATTCTAGACCCCTACATTACCACTTTCTCCTTAGTCGCCACTACACGTGTCCTTTTCTGAAACGCTCCATGTCATCGCTGTCTTGTTCCCCTAGCTAACTTTATCCCCCCCTCTCTCTCTTCTCTTGATCTTTCTCTCTCGGTTCTAGGGTTTCTTCCTCTAAACTTTCACCCACTGTTACCGAAAACTTGATCGAAACAGCCACTACCATGGGGTCGATCCCCGATCCAGGCGAGTTAACTGAGCTAACTCGGCCCAGCTTTGACGAGTTCCAGCGTCAAACATCACTGATGACGAGCTGCACTCTCCTATGGAAAGAACTCTCCGATCACTTCACTTCACTGGAACAAAACCTCCAGAAGAAATCAGAAGCTCTGAAACACAAAATCCAAACCCTAGACACCCAAACAAAAGCTTCCCTTGCTTCGCTCAAGAAGCGCGAGGTAACAATCGACGGTAGCGTCGAGATCGCACTAGAGCGCGTCGAAGAACGCAGGGAACTAGCTCTCAAGTCACTGTCAGATCCTGATTATGAAAATCCGGATGGAGAGGTGGATGATGGAGATGGATCTTTTATGGTTTTGAAGTCTCTCTGTTTGACAATGGAGTCGCGTGAGTTTTGGAATTTTGTGATTACCAAAAAGAAGGAAATTGAAATTTTGAGGAAGCAAATTCCTTTGGCTCTAGCTGAGTGTGTGGATCCGGCAAAGTTTGTCATAGAAGCGATATCGGAGGTTTTTCCGGTGGATAAAAGAGGGGAAAGAAGTGGTGAAAAGGGAAATGATTTAGGCTGGGCTTGTGTGTTAATCTTGGAGAGTTTGATTCCGGTTGTCGTGGACCCAGTAATCGGGAAATCCAGGTTGTTAGTTACGCCTAGTGTTAAGGAAAGAGCGAAGGAGATAGCGGAGACTTGGAAGAAGAGTTTGGAGGAAAGAGGTGGGATTGAGAATGTCAAGACTCCTGATGTGCATACTTTCTTGCAGCATTTGGTGACTTTCGGGATTGTGAAGAAGGATGATGTGGATTTGTACAGGAAGCTTGTTGTTGGGTCTGCTTGGAGGAAACAAATGCCTAAGCTTGCTGTCTCTCTTGGGTTGGGTGATAAAATGCCTGGTATGTTTTGCTTCATTATTTATTTACGGGTTTTGTGTTTTGCTTTGTGTTTTGAGATGTTTTCTTGCTGTTTTCGTTTTTTCTTAAGCTTACATTTATTGGTCTGTGTTTGGGAAAAAAATATTGTTTTCTGCCGACAAAGTGTCTGACTCTGCAATCAAGATTCAAAACAACAAAAATATGTCGCTAGTTGATATTTACTTGTTTTTTTTTTGGGAGAGTGTATGGCGGATCTTGATCCCTAAACTAAGTGAAGGACGGGTGTGCTATCGCACACTTCAATGTGGGAGAAAATGCGATGTATGTTTTTGCAAAACTCAAGGGATTAATGGAAACAAAGAGAACGTACACGTGATGTATCAAAGTTTTCATTTTGAGAGAGTTTGGCTCTTGTTTAGGGATTTTGATTGCTACATCTAGCTTTTTAAGATCCCTTTCATGCAGTGTGCATATGTAGGTTGTTTGTGATCCAGACATGGTTGAGAATTTGAGAATTCCTCAAGATAAGCTTATGAGCTTCAAGATAAGGTTGCCTTGGTTCCTTGCATGCGTTTAGCTAAATGCCCTTGTACGATTTGATAGGTGGAATGGGGAATGGGATCAATTCCGTTTTAATGTGCTTCTGTTCAGTGCTAATTACTGAATCTGTAGGCTACATCGACCTTTCATTTCCTGCCATGGGGCTTAGATCGCCTTATATCTAGTTTGGGCTTTTGTTGATATGTGGTCTTGGAAGTTACATGTCATGATAAGGATGACCTTTTTAACCTTGTGGTAAAAATGAGAAGGTAGCAGTTTTGCACGTTCTATTGCCATGTGATGTGCTTTAGTCTTCCAGCTGCTTGACGTGCATGCTAGTTTTTTGTTCTGTTCCTGACAAATTGATGTACAATGATTATGAACCCATGTTGGAAAGCATCTTGTTTCTATGACGAGGGCAATAATTTTTTTGTTATTTAACTTACATTGAAACTGGTGAGGATATGTTTTTTATAGGAAGCATTGGAATCTAGCTGTTATAGAAGTCAACAGTTATGGATTTGATAGTTTAGATATGTCCGTGTAAATAATGTATTTGTAGTAGAGTTCATCCAACACATCCTTCGCATTTTCTATCTGCACACATCAGTATTAGGTGTGTTAGATATATTGTTTCGTCTCAATCTCAAATATGTCATCGAGTTTTACAGTTATTATCACCAGATCATGTTGTTTTTGAAGTAGCCTTTTGGTCACTGTCATGGATTTTGATGCAACCCGTTAATTGTGTATTATATTTGCTATAGATTAGTTCAATGGTTTTACACTGCTCTCACGTGCAGATATGATTGAAGAATTAATCAGTAGGGGACAACAGCTAGATGCAGTGCATTTCACCTATGAAGTTGGCCTTGTGGATAAATTCCCCCCTGTACCCTTGCTGAAAGCTTTTTTGAAGGATGCTAAGAAGGCTGCAGCTTCTGTATTAGAGGATCCTGAAAATACTGGTCGAGCTGCGGTATTTCCTGTTATCCCGTATAACTAGTTGATTTTTTGTTCACGGATAATTTATATGCCCTGTCTTCTGAGGAACTGATTATGTGACTTTATTTTGTCACTGGAAACTGGTTCAACTGCAACATGTGTTTGGACACCAGATCACATGTTATGTGATTGACCTGTGTGGTAATCTTGATTTTGTGTTTCGTCATTGGTAGGTGATTTAAAAAAATGCTGCATTTTTCTCTGAAGAAGTGATAAATGACTGCAGGGGTCATAGTGTATTGAATTAATTTACAGCCTTGTTCTTTTTTCTTTTTTAACTAGACACAACATTTTACTATAGGGAGTGAAGCTCTCATTTTTTGGGTGTGACCTACAGTGGTTGTTTTAATGTTTTCCATAAAATCCCCCCCTGTAAATAACTTGGTGTCACTGGCCACCATCCTGTACCTCCCCGTCTATAATTTGTATAGTCTCTCCAAACTACTAGGCAAACCACCATTTCTTCACTTGAGCTAATTTCAAATGCAATTGTTTTTTCAATTACTTTAGGGGCTAAAATTATATTATCTATGCCTTTCTCTGTTTTTGATTAAATGTTTTATGCTTGTAATATCATGTCTTTGCCTGCAACAATACCTGTAAGTCTTTTAATGCAAGCTTGGGTAACTGTGTTAATTGTTCGGGAGAAGAAAAGGTTTTGAAGTACATGCATTCCTGAATTTCATTCTTTTGCATGAGCAACCACGAGAAACTCAACTAATTAGCATTATTTATTTTTTAATCTATTTTGTAGCATCTTGCTGCACGAAAGGAGCAGTCAGCCCTCCGGGCTGTTATTAAGTGCGTTGAAGATTACAAACTAGAGGCACAGTTCCCTCCAGAAAACCTTAAGAAACGCCTTGAACAACTTGAGAAGGCCAAGACAGAGAAGAAAAGGCCAGCTGCAGTTCCAGCCAACAAACGAACACGAGCCAGCAATGGTGGCCCTATGCCCCCAGCCAAGGCTGGTCGCTTGACGAATGCATATGTGTCATCTTTTCCTGCACCTCCAACTTTTGTCAGGTCTCCCTCACATACACAATACCCTACTGGGGTACCAGCATATCCTTCTCCACCGGCTGTTTATGGCAGCAGGAGTCCACCATCTCCGTATGCTTACTCTCCTGAGGCTGCCGCTCCAATTGCTGGTTCATACCCTGTAGCTCCTTTGAATTATCCAGCATATGGAGGGTATGGCAATGGTTTCGCACCAGCTTATCAGCAGGCTTACTACCGATAGACATGACTACTCGATGATGGTAACCACTGATATGATGACTCCAATCTCATTTGCTTTCTCAACTGGCTTGTTTGTAATCACTAACCGTCTTAACGGTAGCAACAATCCGTGTGTGTTTAATTATAACTGTTCTACTTCTTGCTTTGCCATGGTGAGAAGTTGTATTTCTAATATTGATCAAACTCTAGCACTAGGTGATTGTGGAAAGTAATCATGATGGAAGCATAACAATGTCAATGAGCTGAAAGTACTACCACTGTTACTAGGGTTAGTTGTAGAAAGACTATTTCTTGCTATCCTGTTCGGTTCGTTTTTGTTTCTAGCGTGCTCGGAATTGGAAAAAAAATCCATATAATGTGTTGACGAATGCGCGCTATTGCTTGCAAAGATCTTAATCAAAATCGAATGGAGGTGGCGTTTGTTTCCGTTTGAGCGTCCGCCTTTATAACGCCCACAATTTACGGCCTGGTGATCCAGGTGTCCTTGTTGCTTGATCAGATGGCACTCGGCATCCCACTAGCGTTGTGTGGAATGTATAATTAGCTGGTGATATGACACCCCAGCTGTCTTAATGTTTTTTTACGTGCAGGATGAAAGTAAAAGACTTGTGTTTCACATTTTGTAGTTGAGGTGAATTCCAAAAACGGCCAAAGGACAGGAAGTGGTTAGTGGAATGAAATGATTCTGTTGATGTAGGTGCAGTTGTTGAGTGGTTGTTCTCATGTCTGAAAGGGACAAGTGTCAATTCGGTGCCTTGTAAATTCGTGAAGGCACGGTATTCTGTGAAGGCACAGTGTAATAAATGCAAAGCCTTTTCATGGCACGTGTTATGTTAAACTTAAAGAGAAGCTCCCTTCCTGGAGCATCGCAAAATCGACCTGACAGAATTATCAGGTAACCGACCTTAGGGGGGAAATTACAGAATTTTAGAGTGGTATCAATGCATAATCTATAAAGCATTGGGAAAATTGGCAAATCGGCAGGCCCCGCCTGTAAAGTTTTCGAGTTTGTCTGGATGGGTTTAGTTTGGAATGCATTACGAAAGTTGGGTTGATGAGAATTTCTGTGACTCATCAGACTTTGTTTGCTCGGAAATTCCGCGTCCTCGATTGTTCAAAATTCCGGTGCTCTACTCGCCACTCTAGTGAAAATCAAGACTGGGTTCGTATGTTAATTGTAATACGGCCAGTGGTAGATGTACATGTACATCGGTGATTTGAGCATGTGTTATTTTGGTAGTATCCATGTCAAGAGGCGATTCCTTGAGTGAGTATCTTTATAATATGTACACAGAATTCGGATCGTATAAATCAGAGATATATTTATCAATTTACACACAGGAGTTCTTCTTTGTTTTCTAAGAGCACTATGTTCTATCAACTTTTGTCGCTGGCATTAAAAGGGTGGTTTTCTAGCTAGCAGGTAAGGTTGTCTGTGTTTCCCGGGTTCGTGGTAACTTGCAAGTACTGATGGTATTTACTCCACTAAGCCTTGGAGAAGGCAGAGATGATTTCAGATTCATTGACATGGGGCTAACATTTTTTTCCCTGCAGGAAAATATTCAAATGCTAAGGTACTTTTTTTAGGGACAAAAATGATAAATTTTGTTTTTTTATGGATTAAAAACAATTTTTTTTTTATAGAAAAGTGGAACAAATATGTCAATTTTGAAGATTTTTGTTTATAAATAACTGAAGGGGTCTTTCATCTTTCAAGGATCAAGTTAAAACTCCAAGGAAAACGGACCAAATTTAATATATCACTGTTGAGGAGGGGGCAAATATTTTAACCTCAGGGCAGCCGGGGGGGGGTGTTACCGTCGCTGGGTGATGGTCCTTTGCCTTATTACTCCCTTCAACTGTCTCGTTGGGTTTTGGTTCATGGTGGGACAACAGGATGTGGACGGGAACTCGGCCAATAAAAGACCAGATTTCTCCCGCCCGCGGCATGGGATTTTCAAGTGATCATTATATGCAGGCAAGAAGTGGCAATGGTTGTAGTGTGGGAGCGCCTCGCAGTTATTTAGCGTGAAACACCAAGTTGTTATTTGAACGCGCGTCGACAGAAGGCATGTGAAAAGCTTATTGCAGCCGGAGGAGGTGTGTGTAGCCCACGCTCAGGCCAAATATGTTTTCTTGGTAACCTCACAAAAGTCCACAGCCTACAGGTTCAATCCAGATAAGACCTCAACTTATTTTTCAATCAAATTTTTAAATCAAATTTATTTAACAATTATTACGTTGTTATACAAAATTATCTATCATGTGAGGGGGAGTATCAGTAAACTCACCATTCATATATATATATATATATATATATATATAGAAATAAAAGATTTCGACATGACATGATTACCTTATAAAAATGTTACCTAAAACTAATTGAAGGATTAATAGATATACAAGGAACCTCATCAAAATGAAATTTAGGTTGAGAACCTAATCTAGATTTTCCTTATGAAAATCTTTTTCCTATACAAATTCATATAATTAGAGGAAATGGTAACAAAATATCTTAAAATACGTATACAAATGTTTTATTATTCTAAGTGGTATTATCTTCTTTCTTAATTAATGTAAAATTTATTATTCTTAATTAGTTGGCTGAAGAATTCAAATATAAATTAAGCATTATAAAAAAAAATCATTTATATTCTTTTATTTATCCATGACTTGTATATAAGATTTCACTAGAACTTGACTTTTTATATAAAGATTTTGAATTTGGTTACAATAATCAAATTATTTCTAACTTGTTTTTACCTTTTAGTAATTCTCAATATAATTTCTAAATATTGATGTTTTTATTTAAATAGTATATCTCCATATTTGTAGTGATTTAGATATTTTTTACTTGTATTAGCAATTGTTTTTTAAAATAATTTTTTTTAGTAATTTTTTTTAATATTAGTAATTGCTTTATTTTATAATATATTAAAATAATATACTTTTTATTTTTTAAAATTTATTTGTAATATTATCATAATAAGATATATATAAAAAATTATGCAAATCACCGTTTATCCGCGTAGACAAACTGCTTAAATTCGTAATAAGGTGCGGTAGGCGAACACCAATCGCGCTGTGCATAGACGTTGAGTTGGATTGCTTTGGAGTCCTCAGGCCCCACCATAAGACCCTTTTACTACGAACCAAGTTGAACACTGGATTCTCTTTACCTTTTTCCGCAGTTTGTAACCTTGTGGCGGTGGTATCTTACGATAAAGACTTGCCTCTACTTCAGACATGCCTTCGTTTATCAAAGAGTGGGGAGAAAGTTCGGTTTCTGACTGTTGCCTACCAATTGTTTGATGAATTGCCCACTTATTTTTATCTTAAATTCAGAAGTCCAAGATGACACCAACCCGAGTTAGGGTATTCATCAGCCTCCAATCACGACTGAGCTCACATTTTCTCTCAAAAGTAAGTAGCTTTTGCTCGAAGGCTTCCACAAATATTGACAAGGCAAACGAAACGACCGAACAAGCATCGCTTCAAGAGAGGTCAACCAGCTACTCTAGCAAGATTCATCTTTCTCCGTTACTCGGTGATAGTAGGCCTCATTTGGATGGTTATAATATTGAGCTCGTGGACGATGACGCCTGGCAGGTATCATCGAGTTTAGTTCATGCATGGCGAGGATTGGATAGGGAAAAGGAAGCGAAGTCAGTGATTGAGGCATTCGGTGAGCAGTTTGATGATGTTAAATCTTTGCATGGTAACCCTGATTTTGATGAGATTGATAATATGAGAATTCGAGGTAATCTCTTTTACAAGCTTGATCGGGACTCCAAAGAGTTTGAAGAGTACAGTTTCGACTTCCACAGGAAGAATTCTTGGAGGAGGAAAGATGATCCTAAGGGAAATGAAAAGAAAGAATCTTCAAAGAAGAATGAAAGTAGTAAAGAGAGCAAAAGGAAGGAAAACCCAAGCTGTAATTCAGCTTTTGATGTTGAAAAACTTCCAAGAATAGCAAAGGATCCGAAGGTTTATTCTTTGGTTAGTAACATGGATAGTTCTTGCGGTGCCGAGAAAAAGAAGATCAGGACTCCGACTTTCAATCAGCTTACAGGTCCTTATCATGAGCCATTTTGCCTTGACATTTACATATCAAAAGCCTCTGTCCGCGCTTGTGTTATACACCGGGTGACTAGTAAGGTGGTGGCCGTGGCACATTCGATATCGAAGGATTTTAAATTCGACCTGGCTTCAACCAAGAATGCAGCTGCTTGTGCTGCAATTGGAGGGATTTTAGCTCAGAGAGCATTAGCAGATGATATTCATGATGTGGTCTACACGCCAAGAAAGGGGGAGAGATTGGAGGGAAAGCTTCAGATTGTGCTGCAGGCTATTATCGACAATGGCATTAATGTGAAAGTGAAGCTTAAGCAAAGGAAGCCCTCGAAGGCTAGGTTCCCATCCACTGGTTTGAAGCTTGATACAGGGCTGGCTGTTCAATGAGTTCCTTTTATCATCTACAAGCCTTACATTATGGCATTGCTTACATTTGTTGCGAACAGCTTCTCTTTCAAGTAGTACTAGACAACTCTGCTTTTAGAAAGATAATTGAGTAATGAAGTGCGCTTAATTTCCCTCCTTATAGAAGCAGTCAAAATTTAGTGCTTGGATTTCATGTCCAGTGGCATAAAGAGGGCCAGTTCCTCCATTTGCTGAGAAAGGGACTCGTGTCCACCATTAGAAAATTGCAAGTTCGTAATCTATTCTGCTCCTATCGGCATTGCTTACAACAACCAGGGGCACGCTTGCTGATTGTAATGCTCTGTTACTTGTGGGATGCAAACTAGAACTGAGGATCGTCCTGCGGTAGTCTCTGTGTATAATCTGACGAGGTGTTGTTCAAGCTTGTTGTGCACAAATGAATGAAAAAATTTGAAATCCTTTGCAACAATTCATGTCATTATTTAATCGATGTCTTGCTATTGGATATATCTACACCTCTCGACCACATTCAACAATTCGTAAGATATGCAGTCAGAAAAAAATGACATGAAGAAGCAGCCTTTTTCACTCATGTTTTATTCGCTTGTGATGATTTTTTTTTTTTTTTAAGGAGGAGATGTTATCAGAGGATTTGAATCAAATTCAAAGGACAACACTATTTGAAGATATGATTTGCTGGTCGCATTGAGATGACAGGGATGATCCAAATTTTGACAAATCTATTCAGCATTCTATTGCAAAATAAGCGTATGATAAAGATTATACTCTGATTCAACATGAGATAACAAAAATCCTCACTTAAAACATTAGGCACAAAGCATTTAGTCATTAGCTGTTGC